CCTCCTTAGGACCCCTGGAAGACGCTTTTTTCCGATCTTCTTCTTCGCCGCTCCCGTCGTGATTCCCTGACCTTTTTACCTGTGAAAGGGCTACCTCGACGGGCCGGGCACGACGAAATAATCAAGTCCACCTGAAAGCAAACGGGACGCAAAGGGGCGAGTATTAGAGGGAACGGTTCGTTACTCGAGGAATTTCGACGATGGACGTAATGCCAACTCTCGAGATCGATATCGAGCAATCGAAAGATCTCCTGTGGCCCTTGAGAAACGTGGACATCAAAGATGGATCCTGGATGCTTTCGACGGAGTCTTGGAAAGGGGTGAAATTGGAGTCCACTTGGAATTAATTTCGAAGTACTTTTGACAGGATTTGGAGTGAATATGCTGATAAATATGAAGATTTGATTGGCTGTCTTTGTAGACATTATGGAGATTCGTGGACATCGAAGATGGAGTCTGGACATTTTCGATGCAGACTTGCAGAGGAATTAAATTTGATTCGACTTTGAATTAATTTCGAAACAATTCTAATTGACTTTGGGATAGGAAATGAAGATCTAATTGACTACCTTTGTGAATCTTGAGAAGATTCTAGGAGATCAAAGACGGATACTGGATACTTCCAACGAAGACTCGGGGAGGAATTAAATCTTATCTAATTTGGAGTTAATCTCAAAGTAATTTAGGATAATCCTGGTGTCATGCATAGAATCTTCAGAGGATGGAATATAAGACACTGGGATCTCATTTCTGATTGAAATTACATTCGATCGTGTTACACAGGTCGCGAGACAGTTAATTTTGTGACCAAGTATAGGAGACAAAATGGCCGGCGATCTCTGCGTTGGTCAGCTGGAAAGAAGCGCATGCTGCAACAAAAATTCGAAGAATAAATGGAGGATAAAACAGAAAAGTGGAATAATTCGACGAGAGGGTAGATGAATCGGAGTTGCTCGTGACGTTAGAACGACGTCGGTTCGTCAAGCTTAAAGTACGAAACTCTATCTTGAATTCTCTCAGTTTACCTCGAAATCGATTAAACTTGTGACATGTAATATGGTACAATAAAATATCCAAGATGCAACCCAAATATCTGTCTCCCAAACAAAACTATACGTCTCCATAGAACGACGGAGACCTGAAAACGGAGGGTGGTGAAAAACAACCTCATCTCCGAAACCGAGCCTTGATCTACTTTGCAAACTGGCTCCACTTCGGGAACGGGTCAGACGATTATTAAAGCTCCTCCGTCAGAACCGACGACGTTCTCGCCCCATTTCAACCCCAGCTCTCGATATTCGCAGCTAAGCGTCCAATGATCAGCGGAAAGCGCATAAATTCGCAAAAACGTCGTTAACTGAACTGTTCGGTTTACCTAGAGGAAATCGTGCTTCTAGCCGGAGTTTCATCGAGCTTACACGATATTTCTGATGTCCGTGGACGTGCTGGGTGAACTACGAGATGGATGTCGCTCGAGTTGCGACACTTCGACTCCCGAAGGGAGTTTCGTGTCCACCTGAATCACGTGTGCAAAGCAGATTGGTATTTTCTCAGACGAATTATTCGTAACAATTATCGATGATCGCAAAGAATCAAAGGAGAAGAAAAATGGGACAAAAAGGTGCGTGGAAAATCTTTGGAGCTCTTTACCTTTTAGCAGAAAAAGACACAGACGTTTAATTTTGCGTGGAAGAAGAAAAATTTGAATGGCGAATTGAAGATTAATCCAAAATTTTTTTAGAGAAAATGATAGTACTCGTTAAAGAAGTTTCGTTTGAAACAAGTCCTCAAAGACCTCGTTTATTTTCTGACTATAGAAGATGGGAGGTAGACCTCTCGTAGGAGATTTAAGAAGCGAAAATTGGATCTAGATTTTCCTCCATTTCTTGTCAAAAAGAAACACTACTATTTCCATACTATGGAAGGAAAACTTTACATTTTTTACTAAAGGTACTTGTAACTACCTTGACAGTATATCTAATAAATAATGATAGTATATTTAATGGATCTAAGTTCGATCATTTTATGAATTCTTTGGACAAATAGTCTGAGTAAAATTGGTAAGATTGGTACACGAATGACATATTTATTAAGCTTGGTCGTCGGAAGGTAGAGGATGTCCAACTGCCTTGCAACTTCTGAAGAAGGCAAAAAGACTCAATCACGTAAGTACAGTGCGTGCCTCAGAAGAAGTCACTGCTCTACCTATCCACCTCATCGACAATTTTTGTCACGCAGTTCAACTGCCATTTGTCTAGAACAGAAAACGTGTGTTAAATGGAACGTCCCTCTTCCACTCAGACCAATTAGACTTGCATTTCGTAGGACTTCTTGCGAGACGCACACGGTACATAAATTCCTTCGAAACCAATCCACTTCTCAGTCCTTCCAATTACTTCAAGTCCTAAATCTTCAATTCGTAAAATCTTTTTACGATTCGCTTTTCTTTACACGCTGTCCCAGATAGATCCTCAAACGCTGGACTCCAGAGGCTTCGGTCTCTAAGGACGTACTTATGCACCTACTTCAGAAGCTTCTCAAAAGCGACATTCGAAAGCACGATGCGTACCAAGCTTGTCAATTGGTATACAAATTAAATCTAATTACAAGAAAGAGTCGGTCCGAGAACGATTTTTCGCGACTCTTCTGACAAAGCTAAACACTGGCTAGATAGGTACAGACCGTTCGAAAGGTACAGCCTGACGACCTGTAGGGAAGCTTTTCGAAATTT